TTGATGTTATTGCAATAGATTAAAATGTCTGCTTTGTATTTTATTGCTGTGTTAGCCGTCAACTTATTTCTGTCGTTTGGTAAGCTCACTTTAATTATATTAGGCCTTTTATGAAAAGTCGAAAATATTATTATTTAAAAACGGAACAGAAGGATGTTAGTCGATCAAAACATTACTTAATTAGCCTTCTTATTAATTAATTACTTTAATGCATTTTTTGTAAGACATAGTGCATTTGTCGCATGCTTAAATTATAAAACATAAATTAGTTTACTTAAGAACTTGTTGTAAAGTTTAACAAAAAAATTACAATATAAACATAGGGGTTATCCATAAATGACGTCACGCTTTTTTGACGATTTTTACCTCCCCCCTCCCCTTCGTCACACGTTGTCACAAAAAGCCAGACCTCCCCCCTAAAATGACGTCACACCTCAGCCTACTAGCCCCCTCAAAATTTCCGGTGGATTGTTTTTTTAAACATCGATATTTTTCCAAAAGTATTTTAATCAATTCCTATTACAATTTATTAAAACAGTTTTCTAAAACGCAAAATAACGTCTAAAATTCGTTTTCTTACATTCCTTTTTGATAATGCAAAAGTGCGACGTCGCACCATCTGTTGTAAGATAAAAATTAATTTGAAATAATTCTAGATCTAATTCTAGAGCCGATTCACGTAGTCTTACGCAGACTAAAAGTAAAATATATATGTTATTACCCACACTGTACGAGCCTAGATAGCTAAGAGGTTAGCACATGGGTTCTAGACATGCCAGTGTTTATTTTTAAATATATATATATTTTTTAGTTGTGAATGATAATGCTGCCTTTGCCTATTGAAACTTAGCGGGATACAGGGCAAGTGAAGTAGAGTTCACCTGTTTCTTTGTCCTCAAGATATAACGTGGATAGTGTGGTCAGAGCCATGCTCGGCCGGAATCTTTTTTTTTTAAAGATAAAACATGTTGTCTGAGACTTGGCGGAACACTGGGCAGGTGAAGTAGTGTTGGGTAGGTGTAAAGTTCAGCGGTGACGTCAGCATATGAAGAGATAGTGTGGTCAGACCCTTGCTCAGCCAAAATCTGTGTTTTCAAAGACAAAAACATGTCAGTTGGGAGGACACTGTGCAGGTGTGACCTCAGCATATGAAAAGATTATGTTGTCAGACCCTTGCTCAGACGAAGTCAGTGTTTTTAAAAGGCAAAAACGTCTGAGGTGTGACGCCTTTTTTAATGTGGGGTCTGGTTATTTTGTGATGATTAGTGACAGACGTGATGTCATTTATGGATGACCCCCCAAACCCACAGTTATCTAACTAGATAACGGGTAGTGTAGTATTTTCTTAAAAATTAAGCGTACTCGAAACACGTATGGATCGAATTCATTTATCTTTATCAATTAAGCTTTAAAATAATCTTTTATTTTGTAAAAAACATTTCAGAACTTTAATTTAATTAAAGGTAATTGTTTTATGCTAACTACTCAAAGGTAGAAGGATTTCAGATTTTATGCAATAAAATTGTGTTTATTAAACAAAATTATAAAATTTGAAAAACACAAAGCGACATGACTTTAGCTTATGAAAGGATAGTGCGTTTAGTTTTATTTCTCTAAGCTTCACATCCGAAATCTTGAGTGATGTACACAGAAACGTGACGTCCTTTATGGATGCCCTCGAAAACCACAGATTGTAATTTTTCATTTTAAAATAATTAAACTGAAGTACAATGATTTTAAACAATATTTAGCAAGAAATGTTTTTTATTGTGTTTGAATAATGAAGGAAATTCGTAATGGGGTGGTGGCAAGCTCGACTGCTAACAGGAAAGTGGCGAGGACGGTTCCCGGACTGGAGATTTTAAGACATCAGATAATGTCTCTGATGTACACAATATTTAATTAATTGTACACATCATATAATCTCTCTGATGTGTACAAAATATTTAATTAATTGTACACATCATATAATCTCTCTGATGTGTACAAAATATTTAATTAATTGAACGCATTAGATATTACGTATTTAATTTTGTCTACTGTTTTCTAGGCCTTAAAGTTGACATGACCAGAGAACACTTTTACCATGGGAAAAGTTTATTTTGTGCACAACTCCAGTGTACAGAAAACATAACAGAAGACACTCAGATGTCAGCTCTTGTCAACATGTCAGTCTATAGGATCAGTGAACCTGAAGGGAAGATTTTGTTGGCGTCTATTTCAGGATCTGATTCAAAGGTTCGCGATTATAAAATATCTGGGATATTATCTGAGGGCAAACTATCCAAACATCACGGAGAACTGGTCTTGTCTTTCTCCAATACTTCAGCCTGTAATTTACACCAGTATAAATGTCAAGTATATTTTACCAATAAGACAGGAGACATGGCAATGCTAGAGAATAGAACAACGTCTTATGAAAGAGAGAAAATCAAGAAATCTGTTTTGTTGATGAATTTGAAAGCTGAAACTTTGAACTACGTGAAAACTGTGGACACAATGGCCGACTTTCTGAAATCGTTTGAAGATCCAGAAAAACTAAAAGGTGCAGACATGTCAATGTCCTTACAGATGTCACATTCTGCTAGAGATGGGTACAGCGACGACACGGCTCAGATTCCATCATCTACAGAGTTAAACAACAGTAACAGACACATCAGCTCTACTAATGCTATAGACGTGCTTGGTGCTAGGATAAATAACATCACAGAACACATGCAAACAGTGAATGCCAGAATTAGAGCAATAGACGTGGTTGGTGCTAAGATAAATAATATAACAGAACACATGCAAACTGTGAATGACAAACTTAGAGCAATAGACGTGGTTGATGCTAAGATAAATAATATAACAGAACACATGCAAACTGTGAATGACAAACTTAGAGCAATAGAAGTGGTTGATGCTAAGATAAATAACTTCACGCAACAAATGCGAACAGTGAATGACAGACTTAGAACAATAGACGTAAATCTCAATGAGAGCCTCACAAGGAACAACCAAACAAAACTTATGAAAGAAGCTTTAAACACAACTGTACAAGAAATGAAAAACGAGTACGACCGGAATCCTGTGTTTACTCGAACGATACTTCAGGTGGTTGTTTTTGTCATAGTCAATTAGAACTTCTTTAGGATTTTTAATTTTTGAAAAAATTTACTCATTAAAACTGCACACAAATATTTACAGTAATGCGAAAATGAAAATATCTTCGTTGACTAAAAGAATACCTAAATTAAATATCAATATACTTCTAAAAAGCAAATTGATATTTTTAAAATAATTTTAATGTAGTTGTAGGCTTAGTTTCAAACTTGTTTCCATTTATAAACAGTGTAAAAAGAACAACAACACTAATGTACCAGAACGAACGTTATTAAAACTTGATAAAGACAAGTTGACTTTGTGTGACACAAAAAGTGACGGTGGAGGTTGGATCATAATTCAGGTAGCTAATAATTTTAAATAATTAGGGTAATCTTTAATCGTCTACTAAATAGGCAGTACCGTTTTTTTTAAAAATCAAATTCCAGAGACGTGTTTTGGGAGACGTCAATTTTACCAGAGATTGGAACGATTATAAAAATGGATTTGGTTCAGTGATTGGAGATTTCTGGCTTGGGAATGACTGGATCTCTAACCTGACCATGATGGTGAGTGTAAATGAAATTGTAAAATTTACGTTCAGGTTATAGATTTGTAGATTTATTTCATTTGAAAATCGAAATTGATTTGCACTCTACAGGGCTACAACGAACTTAGAATCGACATGACTCAAAAAGGTATAAAGTACTACGCCCATTACGATCATTTCAAGGTAGACAACGAAGCAGCGTTGTATAAAATAAACATCTCTTCATTCAGTGGAAATGTACTAGACAAACTAAACTATCATCATGGTATGAAGTTTTCTACCATCGACAGGGACAATGATTTATACAGCGAGCATTGCGCTGAACGTTATTGTAAAGGTGGCTGGTGGTATAACAACTGTGAATTTGTGAATTTAAATGGTGTCTGGGGCTCAAGAGACGATAACGCCGGAATCAACTGGGACAATCTATCAGGCGATGGATTCACCGTTGACACAGTGGAAATGAAAATACGCTTTAAGTTCTAAAAGAAACTGATGGCGTAATACATAATTTAACCTGCAGCATACGTCACGCTCGTAGGGGGAGGGGGGTCCGTAATTTTGTGGCGGTGTGTGATTAGGGGGAGGGGGGTTCAGATGGTGCGACGTCACACTTTTTCATTATAAAAAATCCATGTTAGTAACCTAATTTTAGACGTTATTTCGGGTTTTGAGAAAACTGTTTTAATAAATTGTAATAGGAATGGATTAAAATACTATATATAGACAGAGTTCAAACAAGATTTTGGAAAAATATCGATGTTTTAAGAAAAATTCGACTGCAATTTTGAGGGGGTTGTAGGCTGATGTGTAACTTCATTTTTGGGGTGGGGTCTGGCTTTTGTGTGACGATGTATGACGAAGGGGAGGGGGGAGGTAAAAATCATTTTAAAAAGCGTGACGTCATTTATGGATGACCCCTTATTCGATCGAGGGCCACCTTTTACTTTTTTTTTATCAATACTTAATAGACGCAAGCGAACTGCTAGAACGTTCTACTGCACCCTCCCTCCTTTGACGATTTCCACTACCTACCCCTCCCTCCTCGATAAGGGAGGAGTTGTGTAAAGTTAATTTTTGGCGAGTGCGGAATTCACTCATTCGGAGCGTTAAATTTTTCAATTTCCTCCCCTGCCCCATCCATTTGAGTTTTCCAGAATAGAACCCTCCCCTTTCCCATGCCAGCCAAGTAAAGGTTCTTTAAAAAATCGGAAAGGTTTTTACATTTAGTACAAAAGTAAACATCACCAAAAATTAGACTACAAATGACTTTAATTATTGTTAGAAAATTAGTTTCTTTGACTGAACATTAACAAACTCAACAACATACACTCCGTTTTATAAAGTTAAGATAACCGTTTGAAAATATTAGACCCAAGTATCTAGAAGAGCTTAAATCCTTCTTTTCCCGCAAATACACCATGTCTGAATTCAATTCAAACAATCTAAATCTTAAAACCTAAACCTTATCCCTTACCCGAAGAGAAACACGAAAGAGACTCTGCACACAAAATACTTTTAAGATTAGACAAAATTGGTTATTTAATTCAAAATATACTCGAGAATCAATGACGTCATATTATTGTGTGTACTTTCCCGGCTTTAGAAAATTCGTACTATATGTTCTACGTGACGTCACGTTTCGTTTTTCATATAACTATGTATGTTTTTACTCTGCTTGTGTTTTATCTTTATAAAAAGCGTTCCCTACAGATAAAGAGATAGATAGACAGAAAGACAGACAGAGAAACTATTATTATAGACGAGATAAATGGCCAGTTGAGGGAGGGATATAGTTAGATTTTTTAAATGACTTAGCTACATTATTTTATCAATTTGACGAAAATTTCATTATAATAATCTGATACTTAAAATAAAGTGGTACAACTCTGTTTTAAGATTTTTAAATAAAACTACCTTTTGGCTATGGTGGGAAGGGGGGTTTCTATTGAAAAAAACTCCGATCTTTGTATTTAATGGGGTGGAGAGGAAGAGGGAATTATTTTTTTGAATACCTGGTAGAAAAATGAATTGTAAAAGAAATGTAGCACATCGGTGTGTTTTGTGTGTTTTGTGTTTTGTTTTACCGTGGGTCTTTCCTCTGTTTGCCTTGACTGACCACGTTGGTATTGTTGACTCTCTTGCTTCAACGGCAGCCTTGTTGGCTTTTTGGCTGGAACCTATTCTATGCGATAAATGAGGATACAAATAGTGGGCAGCCAAGGTGACTGTATTATTGTTGCGAAGAGTTGATGACAACAAATCATAATAACTATTTGTTCTATTTGAGGGTGGGGGGGTGGGGGTGGTTTCTAATCTGGAAAACTCAATGGAATGAGGCGGGGCAGGGAATAGACATATTTAACGATCCGAATGAGTGAATTTTGGACTCGCAATTTAAAAAAAATTGTTTTACACATGTCCACAACTTCGCCCTTATGGATTGACGGGGGGGGGGGGGTGAAATTGTCAAGGGAAAGGGAGGGGGGTGCAGAGCGTGAAATAGCATAAAACGTAGTTAATGTGACTTGATGCCCTCAACTCATTGCAACAATAGTTCAACCACATGTACTGCCCACAATTATCACGCTCATTACATAACCAAAACAGAAAACCGACACGACACAAAGGCAGTCATTGACGCCAAACGTCAACAAAACACAATATGGAGGGACAAGGCCGAATCAGGAGAAGCCGAAAAAGGAATCACAAAAAAAAACATGCAAAACATGATGTGCCTAAATTTCTTTTATGATTAACATTTCTAGAGCGAATTTAACATTTTTTTTATAAGTTTAGGTTGCTGTGTAAATTACGTAATAGTATTTTACTTGTTAGTGTTATAGACCATAATGATACTTGTAACAAAAAAAAAATTAGAAAAAAAAAAGACACCCATTAACACACAAAATTTTACGATTCTCAACAATTAGAATTAAAAAAAAAAAACTTGTTACAAGCCATTTTGTGCCTTTTTTGTGCCTTTATTTCTGTGACATTTTTTTTCCTATGTGACTTTTTTTCTGTGGCATTTTTTTCTACCAAAAACTGTGACTTTTTTCAGTGCTGATGTATGTATTTTCAAACTATTTGGGCTCAGCGGGACTTAATTTTCGAGAAAATCAACAAAGTATTTTAAATTAAGTCGTCCATATATTTTTTAATACGGGTTGAAAATAGCAACTCGTCATATGTATGTATTTTCAAACTATTTGGGCTCAGCGGGTCACTATACCATCTCTTCACCCCATGCCCTACTTGACCTTTTTGTTTCTGGCCGAGAGATAAGAAATTTGGCAGAGTACGAGCTGTGAAGTAGAATGTAATTAATTCTAGCAATACATTGACCAATGCTCTGAACCTCTGTAAAATACTTTGATGTAGATTGGCACATGGACGGAGGGGGAGGGGTTGAGGGTGGTATGGGGTGGGCTGGTCAGGTGATTAACGCGCAATAAATGGTAATGACGTCGACGCATGATGTATTTGGTCGGTGAGTACGGCGCCTGTAACAGCAACACTTTCTGCTTGACGTAACCTCAATGGTTGGCGTGGCTAGGGGCGAGGTCAGGGAGGGGAGGACGAAAACACAATTGCCAAAACCGTACTCTAAATTTACAAAGCAATGTCGGTATGACCCCCACTTCAGGTACTAGAAGCTTGGAAAGGGGCCTAACTTAAATAACAAAAGTTGCAGGGGATGTTAGCTTAATGAGTCAATAAAAAATTCAAACAGGTGAAGGAAGGCCGGTGGGGGGGGGGGGGGGGGGGGGGAAGGGAGGGGGGCGTAAGTGAAGATATTTAGCCCAAAGGGTCATCATCAATTTTTTCGGACGCGTGTGGTCTGAACGGTTGGAGAGGGGGGAGTGTGGTCGGGTCATTGTTGTCGTCCACATGTTGAAATTCTGCGCTATAACTTATAACCTGATTCTTTAACAAATAATAAATAATGTAGCAACGACTTCTTCTTCTTCTTCGTTCTTAATTATTAGTGTTGAAGGGGATCGAGATTTATCTGCCAGTGGGTTTGAACTCGAGACTTTGTTCGAATTTATCAACCATGAGCTCGACCACGCATCCATCACAATTAAGCGTTACGTGTCAACTGGTTATGCGCCTTTGAGGCCATTGACTCCGATTTCAGCCTGCTTTTCTTTTTGGATTTACTTCCATAGCCTTTGTCCAACCAAGAACAAACTACAAGGCAGCAGTTGTTTAATTTTGGAGTTGTCTCTCCTAGAAGAGTGACTGTCCCCAGCTAACGAGCCTCATCAGCCCGAGGGTTCGAACTCGAGACTTTACGGTTTAGCAACCATGAGCTTCACCGACTCGACCACGCCGACCCCCTTAGCAACGACTAAAATGTGTCACCTGTCTGTAAATGTGTGTGTATTAAGGCGGGGAGAGTGGTTAGAATACGGGGTTGGGTATTTCATTTAGTCAGGGGGCGGGGGGGGGGGGTTGGGTGGCGTAACTTATTATTTCCTATGAAGCCAGTATGCTTTCAAATAAAAAAAATCCTTTAGATTATATTATTCTCATAGTATAACAACCTGCTTGATGAAAGAAAATGACATGCTAGAATGGGGGAGGGGGGGGGGGGGGGGAGGGGGGGGGAAGCGAGGATCAAGTCGAATTAAACACAATTCAAACCACTTTTAATTGATAGTATAACGAATCATAAATTTACATAATTGAAGGGTTAATAGTATAACCGCGAAACGCATTTATCATTTTGTCTAAATTTCTTAGCTTTCAGTGTGTGAGAGTGTGACTTGAGCATTCACGGAGTGTATACGCGGACATTTTAACCTATTAGTGATTTCAGAGCGTAATACACGAAAGTAGAAAATTTGGCGGCTCTGGTCTTTTAACACAAAGCAACATATTTTAATATGAATTAATGCAATCATAATAGTCTATTGGAAGATGTTCATATTAACTTGATTGATTTTAATTAAGTTAGGTAATATGTTTTTGCTAAGTTTTTAAAATACATATTTTCTTAATAAATCGTATGGTATTTTTGAAAGCCTATTGGCCTGCAGACTGAAATAATTGATTTCGCTTACTAAGTAGGCCAGTGCGTATCTAGTCGATTGTAGGAAAAAAAGTCACAGGAAAAAAAACACAGGAAAAAAAAAAGCACAGAAAAAAGTCACAGAAAAAAAAGTCACAGGAAAAAAAGTCACAGGAAAAAACTTTACAAATATATATTTGAATATAATTTGTTAGTACTTGTATGAATTATATATTCAGAGAGTGCAAATTGGCTTAGGATTAATTAAATGTAATGTAATGTGTGTAGGATGTATACGCATGATAATTGTTATAATTCATCAAAAATATTTAGTATGAAGTATGTAGATTGTAATTATGTTAAACATAATATTAATAGCATTTAAAATAGAATTTTTCAGCGTCCTCGGTTTTCATAGTGTTTTTAAAAAAAATATACTAACATTAAATGACGGTGAAATGGTAAG